ACGGACACCTGTAAAACTCATTCAAGTGAGACTTTCAAACTTGAATTTATGCTTGGTCTGTCAGAACTAAATTGGTCCATTTATAGACAGTTGTGTGAATACAAGGCAGTAGAATTGTTCTGGAATTCAGCAGTGGACTTCTGAATGCCTTGTTAAAATGAAGTACTCTTTTCAGACATGGAGCTGACTTCTTAAAATATGCCTTTCTCCTCCTATGAGTTGTCTCAAATAATTCAATAAATCCAGAAGCTAAGATAGTACTTTAATGGGTGGTTTGATTTAAAATGCCAAAATAAAATTATTGCAATAGACCCATATATATGTATATATGTATGTGTGTGTGTGTGTGTGTGTGTGTGTGTGTGTGTACTTAATCACAAAGAAACTGTTTCATGACCACATCCCTCACACACTGAGATTTACCCATATTTTTCTGTTTCATGATTTTGATGAAGAATCAGAATCAAAGTACTATTCAATAGCTTAAAACATTTCTCAGTTTCCCTGGCCTGCTTTCTACTCTTTCATGTGTTACTTACAGGGTAAACCACATGCATTTTGCATATGACTGACATGAACTCACTGCTCCAGGAGGTAAATGAGCACACGAACATATTGTTCATTATTTCACATCTTTCCTTATATGTGTAAATATGTGACAGTTTACTGCTTAGTCCTACATGGGACATTTATACCATCCATCCCAAGTTTCAGGGAACAATGCAGAAGACAGAGTGGATGAGCATAGGAGCTGGAGGAAGGGTGGAGTGATATGGAACACTGTCTTCTAGGCATGGACATGGCAATCTTCAACTCTTAGCCACCGGAACTAGGTGCGCAAAACTTTCAGAGGATTGGATCCTTCAACATTCTGTCATGGAGGAGAAGATGCTCATGAGCCCTGCCTCTCCATGGTCTGTATGAGGTGGTTGGCTGCTAGGAGCTGGAGAGAATTTTCCTTAGTGATGTGGGCACTGCTTAAGAATTTTCCTATAAGAAACACTAAAGAAAAACTGAAGTAGAGGGACATGAGTTAGGAAGACAAAGGGGATGAGCAGGAGTAGAAGGGAGGAGGCATAAGAGATGGTGATGGGGTGATACCATCACAGTGCACTGTATACATACATGGAATGTCATAGCAAACCCATCATGTGTCACTGCTATATGCTAATAAATTTTTTGCTGAAGAATAAGAATTGGCTAACTAGGTATTATAAAACATAGTCAAATATATTAGAAGTTATGCTTAGAGTAATGAAATCGGAGAAATTTTAGCATCTGATTGGTACATTGGGTATCTCCCTCGATCACTCTCTACTTTGATCTTTGAGTTAGAGTCCCTCACTGAACCTGGAGTCATTCATCTGGTTAGAATGGCTGATCACCAAACTCCATGGAGCCTTGTCTCCACAGTTGCATTGGCATCAGGGGTTAAAGTCAGGTCCTCAGGCTTGTATGGCAAGCCCTTTATTAACTGAACAACTTCCTGAATCCCTAGATAGTAATGATTACATCACCTACTTCGGTAAGCATTTGCTATTAGGTTTTCCTGTTTCTAGCAGAGAAGTTAACTGCTCCTGAGAATTAATCCTTTTGCCAGCTATATATAAAGCTTGCTCTCCACCCCCCATCATTTTATTGGTAGCAACTCTGACTGACAAGACAATTTTCTTCTCTAGCCTGCACTAGCATTCATCTTTTCTTCCTACTCTTCTCTAACACAGCTCCAGTTCTTATATGAGTATGATCCTCATTTGTACCTCTGAGGGTGGTTAGAAAGCTGGTGTCTACAGCTGAGGCTTTTCTCACATGTGTGATGCATTACACAGATGACTCTATTACATATGCAGTAAACAGAACCCTCTACAGGGGCGGAGGCGGGTCAGGAAGGTTACCATATTAAATGGGATCAAGAGATTGCGTGAGGGACAACACTCTTCAGTTATAATGTCTTAGCTGATACTTAAGAACAAGTTTATTAAATACTTTAATTGGAGGGGACACATTTGCACACATTCATTTTGATTGAATCCTTAATTTATAGACAAAGTACTGCATCTGATCTGCTCTGAGAAAACAACTCACACGGTAATATCCATGTTTATCAGTATCTAGAAAATGCCCAGCCAGGAAGTTCACAAAGAGATGGCTCACATATCATCCACTTCCACACCTGCAGGCTCAGTCAGACCTTCCTATTTAGCTTCTTTTAGTCTAGGGTGCCAAGCTCTCATATCTACTTCCCTTAGTGTCTGATTGGAAACCATAATATAGCCAATATATCGATGTCTTTTTTTTTAATGAAAGAAAGCTTTCAGATGCTATCCTATGAAGATTCTTCTGGGTTTATGTCTTTTTAATGACAAAGTCATCTAGTATGTATTTTCCCTCAGAACAACTTTAGATACATAGATTTTCATTTTAGCTTACAGGGTTATAAAATTTTAAATGTTTGTGAAGAGAAATCACCCAAGGACTGAGTAAAAGTTTGATAAAATAGATAACTTTTTTTTCCCCCAAGAACCTTCTTATTGAGATCAGTCACTGTTAGAATTTTGAGGATCGTTAATGGAAGAGATTGTTGTCTAGATTTTTTTCCAGGTTTAGGTATATTATGTTTTCATTTTTATTTAATTCTAAAACATTTTAAGTTACTTTCTTAATTTTGGTCTTGACCAATTTGTTATTGAGTTGTGAGTTGCTCAGTTTCCATGGGTTTCCAACTATTGTTATTTCTGTTGTTTTTGTGTTCAGCTTTAAATCTTTGTGTCTCTTCGAGCACCCCAGCAGTTGGCAAGAACAAGCCCTTACCAAACATAACATAAAAAATGAGTCAAAAAGAAAGTAGTGGCAGATAGTTTCTATGGAGGACTGGCACAATGTCTTTATTCATGTTGGCAATACTAGATAAACACTATTCACAAGATTCAAGAAAATGGCATTTGAGAGCTTTTGGGGTCCTGTGTTTATAATGAGCCCTACTGATCTGAAGAAAAACAAAATTGCGTTTAGTCTTGAGGAGGTGCAAGGTAAAGTATAAGGTACATCTACAGTGTGGCTCCTACCTGTGACAAAAGAAATGTTTGATGATCAAGGAGTAGCACTCCATGAGCGGCTTGTATTGATGTTAAGACTACTGAAACTGATTTACTTCATTTATTCTCTGTTGGTGTAAAAAAAAAAAATCCTACACAAACAAATATGGAGGACTCTCTCTGCTCAGTACCAATACGTCAAAATATGTAGGGTACCTATGCTCAGTAACAAGAGGACCACCAGGCGCAAAAGTTGATGAGACCATTGATTCACGAGGTTCAGAAAAAAATGACTCAACTGAAGGGATTAATAACAATTTTTTTGTAGGTAGCACTTGGAAAAAGCTTGCCAGTTTGCACATCCACTTCATGATGCCTGTGTTAAAAAAAAGTACACACTCTGAGTTGGGAGAACTCAGAGCTTCATGGTAGAAGTCATTGCTCTGGAAAGGCTACTGGTGATGAGGGATGCTCAACGAGCTGATGGATACACTCTTATTCCGACAATTAGACACCATAGGGGCAAATCAAATTAGTGCAAAAGTGAAACATGGGCAATCAAAGTATCTTTTCGCTTTGTGCCTTTTGTATTTTTTTGTATTTTTCCATCTTAGTAGAAAGCTGGGACTTGGGTCTCAGCAAGTTCAAATTTTAAAGAAGTAATTAAAGGCTCTTACCCCCATGCACCCGTCCAGGCATCATCCAGTTCCCAGCATACATGCATGCTAGTGATGGAAAATTTCAAACCTATAACACACACACACACAGACACACACACACACATACACTTGAATCAATTACATGAATATCTATTTTTGACAAAGTCTTGAATTTGCTCTCAGAAAATAATAGTAAAATAATCTCCTACAGAACACACTCCTACAGAACACACATGAAGGATGTGTTGAGTTCTTTCCAGAGAATGTGGGATGCTTTAGAAAACTACTTTTTGTCAGCATGCAGAGCCACAACACGAGGTTCCGTGATATCTGGGGGCTGAGAGTAACATGAATAAAGTCTTCAGCAAACTACTAAGTTGGTAATGAGAAAATTTTGAAGACAATCTTCATTGCTTTTTTATGCATGATATCTATTAGAAACACACACACACACACACACACACACACACACACACACACACACACACACACCCTGGTAAAGATCATATTTATACTCCCAAAATTCTGTTGTTTGATGAAAACAAAATCTGCCTGTGATATTTTTTTAAATATCATTTTATCATCAATCATCATCCTTATAAGAAGAAAACATTAATATAGCATCAATTGCCATGAATAAAAACATAATCTCTAACTTGTGATCGGGTAAGTGAGAATCTCTTCTACAAAATACAGAGCATCAGTCTGTGGCTGAGTCTGGAAGCCAAAGCTGCCATGCTAATGAACAGAAGAAGGATTTGATCTCTAGTTAAAGGAAGCACAGCAAACAACTAGTTTAACTGAAACATGTTGTCCTTTTTGTAGACACTGGTGAATGAATGGCCAAATGTGTCTGTAAAATTCAACTGGGAGTGGAACAAGAATTAGACATTTCCAGAGATTCTCACCAGACCATCAAAGTTCTCTCTCTCTCTCTCCCCCCTCTCTCTCTTTCTCTTGTGTGTCTCCATCTCTCTCTCTTTTGCATAATATTTACCTCAAGCTTGCTGCAGGCTAATGTCTCAATAATTTCCCCTCCTTTCTCAGGTCCTTACCACAAAGGACTTGACTAATGATCCATGGACAAAATGAAGCATTTAAATTTATTCATTAATCATTCATCTCCAGCTCATTGAAAACTTTAAACTTCCACAAAATTAAGATAGAACATTGAGGAGTGATTGAGAGAGACAGCTCTCAGTGAGCTAAAAAAGATTGGTAAACACAAAAACAAAAGTGTATTAGACAGAGTGTCTGAGAGTGTCACATGGGTATAGGCACTGTTACAGTTTACACAAACTTTAAGTACTGACTCGAAAAGCCTTTATTTGGGCCAACACGATGGGGAAATCTGGGGAAGCCAGCAGTCACTGTCAACACTGCCAGTAATTATTCTCTCTTCCAATTAATGGTGACATAGATTAATTATCAGATGAGGCAAAGCCAATTGCAATCAGTCACCCAGAGCTGAAATTAGATCGTTCCTGACAGCAGCATGAAAGTCACCTGTTTCATTGTTATGGATTTGCTGTAAGTAAGAGAGTGGCAAAGCATGCTGGGAGGTGAGTGAGTTTTTCGTCCATGGAAGTGTGAAATGGCAAACAGGTGAATGTCCAATTACACTGTTATCTGAACTGTGCGACTTTTCCTGTCTTTTCTTCCAGCTTCCAAGATACATTGGTTGTTTGGTTAACCATCTTTTCCACATGAACCAAATGTCAAAGTCTGGAAGAAATCTAAGATGTGTTGCATTAGACTTGAAGATTCCTCCTGTTCAGAAGCAACAGATAAACCAGATCAATAAGGGCTCATTAATTAAGAAAACAGAACATCATTCTGAAGCCATACATGTGGAAAACTTACTAACAATAAAAAAAAAAAAATCACAGTGAACACCATTACATCTGCTTTTAGGAGATAAACACCCACAAAAGTATGATTCCCTTAGCGGGGTCTTAAAAATAATGTCAGACTGGCTTTAAGTAGAGCATGGATGAGACAAGTGAAGTACATCACTGTTTTAGCAACTCTGTTACCTGTCATCTTTGCCCAGTTTTCATGCCTTTCACATAAATGTATCACAGAAGATGACATTTGGGTTGTTATGATGATTGTCACTCATCTTTTCTTAGTGTGTCCATGATTGGGTGTTTATACTCATTTCCCAACTATATTCATTTATAACATTGGGTATAAAAGGAAAATTTCTCATTCCAATAGAATTTACATTCAACAGAGAAAGCACACTAAAGTACTTGCATAATTAATAAGATATGCAATAAAGTGCCATGCTAATGCATGCTGTAGTTATATAGCATTCCTGTCACTTCCCTCTTCAAGTTATCAACAGGTGCAAAGTCACACACGAAATTAATTTTGGAAAAGCACAACATTAAGTTTATTTATTACAATGAATTTTTTTCTCAAGATGATTTTGTTCCTCAAAGAAAAGAGTCCTCACTTTTTTGTTCTGGATATTGAGAATATGTACTATAGATGTGTGCCCTGAATTTTAGTGTCAACATAGTCTACTGCTGAGTGAATGCCTGTTATAACTGAGCTGTAATACATATAAGTGGTTTTCTGGATAATTATTACAATCCTCATCCCTCAAGTACTATTCATAGCTTCTACACCAAGGGCTAAATTACTTTAATTAGCCAAGAAGTGAAATAATCCCTTAAAAGGTCTGCTGCTGGATGTCTCAATGCCATCATGAACACACTTTATAAATAGAGATAAGGCTATACTTTAGGCATAAAACATTTTCATGAACACTAAGTAGATTTGTTCAATCTTAAGCATGTGGCAAGACACATGGTGCCATTAATTCTTATTGTAATACTTAGATATTTACTTACAAATAGTCACTTAATATTTTCCTTTAGGGATATAGCCAAATCCCCAAAGCATGGTTTCTAAGTAAGAAATGATGCTGAAACACTGGACAATCCACCTGAATAAAGCCATACAAATATTATCCATATCTTAGAATACATTGTAGTTGGATTCAGTCAAGTTGCTCAAGGTAAAGTCACATGATAATCATCAAAGATTGTAGAAATATTTCAGTTAGATATGGAGATATCATCCACATGAAGAATATGTGGCCAGTTAATGTGCTCACCTTTGCATCGTGAAAGGCAGCCATATCTTAGTCCTTTTAAGAACTTATATCTTGGGTATGGAGACCATAAGCAAGAATGGTAATTGGGACTGAGACTTGGTCTTTACATCATATACAACTCATAGGAAAAAAAATCACATGTGATTTTATTCTGTAATCAATACTGATAGCCCAAAATACTCAGCATGAAGATGGGTGCCAACCAGAGCTCCTGGGTCTGTGTGGTCCTGCAAAAATGCGTACTCTATCACATGTGCACAGACACAAAAAATGAACAGTGATTCTAGACTTTGACATTGTACAGGAAACTTAAATAGACAAAGTATTGCTTTGATAAATAGCTACTCATCTGGCATTCCAGTTACATCTGAATAAATGTTAGTGTTTCTAAAGTGCTCAAAAAAGTGCTTCCCCTTAAAGTTGTAGTTCTTTTCTATTGAGTTTTTGTTTTGATTAATTTAGTGCATGTTTGTGTGTGTGTGTGTGTGTGGGGGGGGGTGGTGCTTGCCCTGAGATCAAAGAACATCTCCTGGGAGTTGATTTTTTTTTTTTTACCACTATGTGTATTCTGGGGACTGGACTTGGGTCATGAGTCACCTCAACAGTTCCTTATTGCAATTCTGATATTTCCTTAGGAAGTAGAAATGTTTCACTAAGTCACTATTTTCATATCAAACCAATCTTTGAGTGAGTTTTGTAGAAAAAGAACCTCACCTTTGAATTAATGAAATTGGGAAAATATTAAATCTCATATTTGTATGTTTGTATGAAATTAGAGTGTGGCCATGTTTTCAAAGATATCAGCCATCAATTTCTGTCAATTTTCTTCCTTTGATTCTTTCAAACTTCATAATATTATAGGTATTGTATCAAATAATATATTTTGTTGATGGATATTAGAGAGCAATTATTTATTTCTAAAGTAACATTACATTTTTGTTGTTCAAAAGTCTCTCATAATTATGACTTAAATTTGATTGTGATTTCAACTTTTCTGATAGGTTTTGTTTGAAAAACCTCCCAATTTTAAAATCTCAGATAAACATCTTTTATTCTCATCTCTATTTTTTCCTAAGCACAGTATAGCTCAAAGATGTCCTCTACTTATAGAATATTCTTAAGAAAATCCCTAGGAAGTTTAGGGGAGAAAAGTATTCTCCTTGGAAGTATTGGAGCTTGGTAGAGCTATTCCAAGTATCCAAAGGGCAGGGAATGACATTTTTTTGTGCATGCTTTTTTGTGTTATGGACTGAATACAGGACCTTGTGTATTTAGAGGGAATGCCATGACATTTGGAAGAACTCATTTTGGAGACTAAAGGGGAACTCCTTTAGTTCAACACTTTTCTTTGTCTTTCTTTCTTTCTTTCTTTCTTTCTTTCTTTCTTTCTTTCTTTCTTTCTTTCTTTCTTTTCAATTCTGAAAGACATTTACAAAGTTGCTTTAGCTCTCAGTCCCAAGGGCAAGACAGAACTTAACTCCACAGATCAGTAATGTGACACCCAATTAATGCTCTATGAGCCGTTTGCCAGAATAGAGTTCGGTGGTCATCAGTTAAAACACAGCAATGATAATTGCAATTACTAGCTGATTTCTAGATTTGAGATTATACTTTATTTTTAAAGCATGATTATGTTCATTTCTGAGTTCTTCCATGAGCTGAGTATGCCTGTTCACAGGAACATTCCAGTGTTGGAAAACAATAAAAGTGTGACAATTAAGCAGGCAAGCAATGTATTTTTAACTTTTATATATTTGAAAATTTCATAATGACTATAGTGTTTTTACATTATTTCTACCCCTTCCTCCCCCCGCTCCTTCCTCCCCAACACTCTCAGATTCATGAGTTCTTTTGTAATTATTTTACATGTGTGTGTGTGTGTATAAAACTTATTGGGTCTATTTAATGTTGCTCATATGCACAAAAATTTAAGGCTGAACACTTGGGATTGGATAGCCTATCACAGGCTCATCCTTGTGGAAAACTGACTTTCCTTCTTTCATCAGACATTGACTGCTGATAGCTTTTCATCTAAGGATAGGCTTTGTGAAACTTCCCTTTCTCATTGCTATTGGAAATGGTCATTACTCAAGCCTTGTTTAGGTGAACGCATTGTTGTGAGTTCGTGGGTGCACCTTCTGTGTCATCTATAGAAGACACTATCTGGCAGTAGACATCCTGGTCCTCTGTCTTTTACCATCTTGCCACTTCCTATTCTGTATTGTTTCTTGAGCCTTATGGGTCCAGGTTAGGTTGTAATCTTACAGCCACTTGTTCTCTCCATTTGGATGGAAAGCAATAGCAAAGCAAGCTCTTCTCATAAGCATTGTTTTGTGAAAGGGCGGTGCCCCTCTCTCCTTGTCTCCCACCTCTGCTGCCTCTTCTTCCTCTTCTCCATCTCTCCTTCTCTCACGCTCACTTGTTTCAAGGAATTCATATAAAGCTCAGGGTGCTGGGCTCTAACTTAGGGTCTCCTGCCTCAGTCTTTTCAGTGCTTGATTACTAACATGTACCACCACTTCCGACCAAATTTAATAGCTCAGTGGTTTATTATACAGAATTAACAAGAAAGCAGAAGTGATGCGGGGTGTTCTTCTGTGTATACTGATCGTCCAGTAGTCAGGCAGGAGGTGTAGGTGGGGCTAGGAGTGGAAGGAATAAGGGGAGAGAGGGAAGCCAGGAGAGAGGTGCCTTGTAGAGAAGATAGGGAAGATAGGACACACCAGGCATTCTCTGGTAAGATAAGACCATGTAGAAATACATAGATTAGTGGTTATGGGTTTAGTAATTAAGAGAGAGCTAGCCAGTAAGAAACCCTAGTCATCGGGCCACAATTTTTAAATTAATATAAGTCTTTGTGTATTTATTTGAGGCTAATTGACTGCGGGACCAGGCTGGAAAGAGACTCCAGCTACACAGAGATCACTTTTCAACTACAGCAGTCAAACAAACAAGCAACGGCCAAAAACTTTCTTAAAGAAGGCTGAGGTGCGTTACCTCACGCTTTTCTGTTTATGATCAGAGTGGCACTGGTTGTCCTGGATGGGAATAGTACCAGTGTCCAGAGAAGTACAGAAGTTAGGCCAGACTTACGAGTCAGAGAAAAACTCAGCATGACCCAAAGCTTTTGAGGTAGGGAAGAAGGTCAGGACACATCATGTTACTGCTTGCTTCAAGCTACACAGATGTTTCTGGATTCTATACAGACATTTCTGAACTCTACCTTGATGTTTCTGGATACATTGTGTGATTGTGTGATCACACTGATGAACGAACTTACCTTAAAAAAATGTCTAATTTCATAATGTCAGACCAATTAAACTTTCTTTGAGAATTTGGTACAGTGATCTTAATGGAGCATCTTAATAAATTATTGATGGTAGACATAAGAGTTAATCCATTTAAAACAGATTTCTGCTCCAATTTTCTATCTATCAGATGAGCTAGATGATTCAGGGATGAGTTTAATTAGCTCTTAGTCTCCTAACACAGTGCACAGCTTGCTTTGACATTTCCAGTTGTTCCGATCACCTTTTGCCCTGGAGTTTTGGGAGAGTGAATGGCCATGCCTAGTCTGTGATCCAAAACTTGTTGCTCTCACAGTGACTTGTTTGTGATGATCAGCAGACGTGCCCGGGGCCTC